TCCAAGTGTTGTGGGGGAAAGCGGACGCACGGGCTTTTTTTAGAGTGTTGCTAATCTTTCCGGGTTATTCAAGTAAAACGAGAAAAATGTTATGGTCTCATTGCGTTTCAAAAGTTTTGTTTACGTTACCTACACTTTCTCGTAAACATCATGCCAAAATGTTTTTTGATATGCGAAATAGTGTGTATAATACAAAACGGTACAACCTATCCACTTTTTTGTTTGTGCCCAGAAGCAGACGTGACCTGGCTTTGGTGTACAAAGGAGCGTATCGCGTGTGTTTACGAAGTGTGTGTGTCTGTATATGTTTTGTTTTGATTTGTTTTGTTTCCACTCATGACCGGTAAGGGCAACCTTATTACCGTTCAGGTAAAATGAAACTGACTCTCCGATTGTGTCTATATCACAACACGCGAAGAGAAAAGAAAAAAAGAAAAACAAGAGTACACTTTTAAGAACGGACACCGCAACCCGATGGAGCTATCTAAACACTGAAGTGACCCAATCACATGTCTGTAAGTCACCAAACGTACGTCGTTAAAGGTGCACTTTGCCTCGGGATGTGAAAAATGTCGACATTTCCATTCAAACAGATTTCGAAATCGGAACCACGCGTGCATTCTCAAAAGGTTGTCTACAAGGGGTCATTCAAGTTCGTAAATCACTAAAAACTAAAGTGAAAAATAAAATGCTGGAATGGGGCTTTTCAACAACTGTCCGATAAACGTGTTTTTCTGCGAACGTCCTCAAATGCAACAACTCTGACCAACTCTGACCAACGCGTCGAACGAGCTGAGAGGCCCACTCCTGAGCATTCTCGAACATTTCAAAGAAACGGAAAACACGTCAATGTCCAAATAACGGCCATCAATCCTTGGTAACGTCCTTGAAAGCGTTTCAGTGCACAAGCGAACATGAAGTGTCGCTTTTTTGAACACTCTTAGGTACATACAGAGGTATTGAGTCGATTTCCATCTCAGCCTCTCCTACTACATCCCTTATTTGTTTAAATCTTTTTAACGTTTTTCGGGTTCGCTTGTAGATGCGTGCTTTTTTGAATAGAAAAAGAAATGTCACAAAGTTGACGATCTATACTTCGCTCTCGAAATGGTGTCTCATTTGTGCTTTTTTACGAGTCACGACATTCGCCCGCTTTTTGACTTAATGCATGCTCGCATCAGACGCCATCTGTAACTTCATTTCTTTGTGTCTATTTCACTGTTGACTCGGGAGGGTATACACGATCGAGTAGCAACATGACGACCTTTTCCTGCTCTCGCTAGAGTATAATGGATACGCACCACTCTTCAAACAACAAACGTTGTTGTTTTTCTTTCTTGCTACAGCAATGGTCCATGGGGAAGGAAGCTTAGCAACACTTCAAGAACAACGTGAATGCATTTCTTTCTATCTTCAAACAAAAAAAAAAATCGAAAATTACGAGACAACAAAGAAATTTTATATGACGTCGTAACGATATGCATTTTTTCATGCTTATTTGGTATGGCGTGACAACAGCAGGACGACCCGCGGTGATTCCTACACGGGCGGCAGACGATGCAACGTGGTGCACTTCAGTTTAAGGTGTCTGTACGAAGTGTATTATTTTAGGCAGCAATTTATAGAGTCAATATAGGTTGTCACTTTTCTTCTCCGCAGCGCTCGTGTCCTTCAAATAATTCATGACGACACCGCCTGTACTGCTGTCTGATAATCGTCGGCACCGGCGCTATCTAGTGAGGACACCTAGAGTTCGTGGTTTTTTTTTAGGATAATTAGGAAGCTGCGTGTATTTACTTCTCGCGTCAATACCTTGTTGTGACGCACGCTTCATTCCAATGTCGACGACTGAAACGAGATAAATAATCTAAGCGTGTCTGCCGCCAACGGTTAACTTCGGTAGGGGGGGACGCCGCCGTCGAGCATTGTTGCAAAAACAGGGCGCCCGTCTGGTACCATACATAAGACGATGTATATAACTAGGGTCTCTGGCAGCTTAGGAAACACAGGGTGGGGCGAGTCCTGAGCATCTAATTATCGCACAGCGGCCAATGAGAGTGTGCCATTAGTCAATAAGAACGTCTAAGAGCGAATCGCTAGGTAAGAAGCGTGAACATATCACACCTATACGTTTCTTGAGACGTCAGTGACTACGGTATGCTTCTTCAGTCTGTACAGAGAACGAAAACGGCTAAAGTCACTGACTCGGTTCTAGGACGAAACCCTGCCATTGCGATTGGGAGCAACGTGGCCTAGCGAACGCTTGGAATGTACTACTATACTACAGGGCCGGCCGAATGAACCGCTGGTACTTTCGATTGACCGCTTTTTTTATTTTTATTGTGCGATTGTTTTGGTTTATACTTTCCATGTATATGTCTTTTTCTTCTTAAAAGTACCAATCGTCAACGTTATCCGACGCTTTTTTCTTGACAAATGTTAAGTACATATGCGTCTAGACAGTTTAATGCATCAACAGTTTGACTACTCTCCCTAACCCCCACCCCTCCCTCTACTCACAAAAAAATATATATATAAAAAATAACACTTTTAACTACAATCCGGCATAAACTTACAACATGACAGGTCGAGAAGCGAATTTAAGTGGGGGATGCGTCAAGAAAAAAGATCACCGATTCATCCAGCCGCCCATGTATAGGTTGCGACTGCGTCATGGTTGATATCTGCAACGTGAGTCTAGAGGGAAACGTCTATCCCTACACGGTGCGGGGGGCCAGACGTCGACGCGGCTTTCATTAGCTCGCGCACTACAATCCGGCGGGATCTAGACACCTAGCGCGCTACACGACTCCGATCGCTCAAGCCCGGCCTCTTCTAAACCTAGAGAAGATTGTCTTGGTGTGGTGTGCATCGGGGTTCCGCACGGAAGGAGAGACCTGCAACATTTTTCCTCAACGTAATGTGTCTTTGAACTCGTTCATTCACGTTCGAAACAAGGCATCGTATTTACGCAGGACGTTTGGGTTTGTAAATCATGCGAGCGACCATAAGAATCCGGTCGGGGCAATGCCAACAGCAAACGCGCGGAGAAAAACAAAACAGAAAAAAAGTATGCCAACGAGCAGGGAATGCGTGGAATCATCTGCAGTCGTTCCTGGAAACAAGGTAGAAGGTTTGTCGACACTGAGTGCACGAAGCAATCAGTATCTAGGAGGCAACGATCCATTCGGACATCCATTCCACCCAGGAGCGAAGCTAAGTGGGGAAGGAAAATGTGACGCCGTACGGGCTGCGACAATCACGGAAGGACCGTAAATTCGATCCTCGCCGTCCATTACAGCGTTTCGTCTTAGCAGAGCCGGCGACGAATTAAACGCGTGGAAACAAGTCCTGTCAATTAGTTAACCAGTGTTATCGCGTCTTCAACTGCAACCGCAATAGCAAACGAAAAAAGGAAAACCCGGTGAAGCGACCAGATCGAAATTTGTTTCGCCGGGGTCAGCACGGCAACAGCGGAGCTGCGTTTGGCTGCTCAAAGCGGAAAAACAAAATACAACGAAATAATTTAGAAAAAAAAAAAGTACGCTGGTGCATTTGACATTTCTTTGTGCCCGAAATGACTTCCCGAACGGAACGCAAACCTGCCGTTACTTCTGAGAGAGTTTGGACGGCATCGACGTTGGAAGCAAGTAGTTTTTTTTTTTTCATTATTATTATTATTTTTTATTGTTTGAATTTGGATTTTTTTTTTCTTTTTCTAGCAAACGTTACAATCATTGAAAGTCGACTCAGTTTAGAAATTGGATGATGCCAGACTCGCTGCTGAGAAAAAATAAAAATAAAAAAATTTAAAAAAAACTTGAGCGTTTTATTTTAAATTTTTTATTTTATTTGAAATATTTATCCATCAGCGCAGTATTGTAATTTTCTTTTTACATTTTCTGTACAATATTTGTTTTTTCCTTAATTAGAATCTGTAAAAGGTTATAGTTTACCTAAGTTCCGACGTCATGGTTGGGACGAATAATTTTGTACAAGTCATTAACACAACTTTTGCATTAATACGAACTGTAGTAACAAAGAAGACGCAATGTGGTGAATTTAACAACTATAAGCAGCCTGTGTTAATTAGAGAGATTCATATTGTAACAGCGCTAGTGGACACGAACCAGGCGAGAAACGGCACAAAACATTCACTTCGATTGTGTCCGGGCACGATGTTTCAGTGTGAATACGTACCAACATGCCCCGTTATCAATTCTGTTAAAAGTAGACAAACTTCGGAGCAAGCGATCGAGCTGGGTACGAGCCATTGGAAGATCGAAAATTATTGATGTCTAGAACACTTGGGGAAAACAAAAACTCCCTGTGATTTTATTCGGAGATGCTTAGTTTACTCACAACAATCAAAGTAATTCTAATCTACTGTAATTTATCAAATTAAGCTCACGTATTCTAAGAAAGTAGTAATTGCCATTCCTCACCTCTCAGGATTTTTTTTTTCTTTTTTCAAGAAATGTGTGATATGGGCGCTTTTGAACACTGATGTCATTAACGAAAACTTTTCAAAAGATTCCACCCCCCCCCCCCCCAAAAAAAAAAAAAAAAAATTACATTATAAAAATTAAAAAAAGTTTGATTTGTCAAAAAAAAAAAAATCTAGCGTCGTTGTTTGCTGCTTACTTGTTTCCCACTAGACATCTGCCGCTGCGGTCAATGCCAAAGAGGTCCAATATGACTTTCTTTTTCAAACCCAAGCTTCCATAATGTGCAATTAAAACAAAATATATAAACAAAAATTAAGTCGGGTTTAAACTTGTTGCCTTATTTCGAACGCATATGTGTTCTTTGTTTCCCCAACGCGTGAACCGAAAATTACAAACATATCAGTCCAATCAAACTCCCCTAATCAGTTCAATCAGTCCATTCAAACTCCGCGACCGTCCCCGATGCACATAAAAACCGAGGATGGGGAAATAATTTATGAAATGTCCTCCAACGTTTTTTTTTTGTTTTTTTTTTTTTGTTTTTTCTCGTGGTGTGGGTTGTTTTTGTCGCGTCGTCCGCCGTTTACCGTCCACTCTTGGAAACCAGCCAGTCGCCCCCGCCGCCCGTCTTGCATTGTAGTCTTGTCGTTCCTTCGACCTGACCTTCAAATCTTCTTGGTTATTTTGTTCTGACAGAATGGGATCTCGATGCAATCTACGTTCAAGCCGAGTACAGAGACAGGGCCTGCACAATTTTGGGGTCCTGCTTCGAGCCTTCCTTGAACTCGTCCAATGTCAGCTGGTTGTCGTGGTTCTGCGAAAGAAAAACGCAACGAGAAAGTCAAGGAAAGAGAGAAAGGAAAATTTGTTATCATTGGTTCGGCAGCAAGCATCGTTACAGGCGCTGTCAGTTGGACGAGGTGACCACCACCTCTTCTACCAGCCCTTGTAAACAACTACCCAAAGCGCCGATTTTTTTTTTTTTTTTAACGCGCTTGTTTTTTGCGGTATTTATTTTGGGGAGCGTGCAAAAAAGGTGGCGATTCTTGTAAAGCTGAAAGAAAGCTTTAATTTGATTAAGAATAATAAGTCGGCTAAAGTTGTAACATGGTCGATTGATTTCCTCATTTTTTTCTTGTGTAGAACGAACGGCCCGGCTTATCGCTTTCGTGCCTGGGGAACACAAAAGTTTGAGTAACCTTGATTTGTGTTTCGATCAATCTTGAGTTTGTAGTTCGGCTTCAACCTAAGAATTTCGTCTGATAGTTTGAAATTTTTCCTCAAAAACCCACTATTATTTACAGTTCGCGCCTTCCTTGTTTACGCACTGCATCTTCTCCGGCATCATCTTCCAACTCACTGACTCCGCTCGATCCTCCCCAAGGCGGGGAAAATGCATGCGTGTCTGCTTTTCTCCTTCAATTGAGCAGTCAACCTTGGCTAGGTGACGGGGACGCAACTTAGCCAAATATTATCTCAAATTCATTTTTTGCACTGCACTAATTGTTTTGTATTCAAAGTAAAAAGGAGTTATAGACTGTCCTTCCCTTTGTTTTAACCACCCTTTCTATGAGGACCGTAAGTTCGTCTGCTACTTGCGGAGGGGTTGCAGTGACGTCAGAACGCCCCGAGCTCTGATTGGCTCTGATGGGAAAGATAGTGGGTAGACCTCAACGACGTAGCTGCCTCGAGGTCTACCCACAATCCTTCCAATCGGAGCCAATCAGAGTTGGGCGTTCTGACGTTACCGCAATCCCTTCACAAGTAGCAGACGAACTTACGGTCCTCATATCCTCCTCTTGACTTGTTCTAACCTTTGAAAATCCTTTGTCCCATTATCGTCCTCGCCGAACGCCAGGTCAGGGAGTAAGTCTGCCGTTTGTGTGTGGTGCTTGTTGTGTTGTCCTAGCATCTTTTGATGCACAGTAACGTGTTCTGGTGGTGTTTTTTTTTTCCATGCATATAACGCATGCCGCGTCAAGCTTCCGGTATTTTCACCTGTATTTCTTCGTTTATGAAACCCACGTCGTAACCTCAGCTGATAACGCACTGCCTTTAGAGTTGTCTTATTATTGGGAAATATTCTTCCTAATTTTCTTCTTTGGCTTTCCATTTACATCTGGGCAAGGGAGGAAGCTAAGAGATTTTGCTAACTTCCAGGTAAGCGAGTCTGTGCATCGGCATTTTTATTTCCGGCTCTGCTTCAATTTTTAGGCCGGTTTGAATTTTTTTTTTTCAAATAAGTGATGAACAAAAAGCATAAAACCTTAAAAAAAGTATTTTATAGTTTTTGGAGTGTCAGTAAACGTTCTACCAAGAGAGTTAGCATATTTAGCGCAGAGACATGACTTCTTTGAATCCCGGACAAAAGCTCACCGGACAAAAGCTTACCGGACAGAATCTCACCAGACAAAAGCTCACCGGACAAAAGCTCAACCATTTTTTCATAGGCCCGGACAAAAGCTTACCAGGAGAAAATTTCACGTTTGTCTTAAAGGACACATGCAAAGGAAAAAAACATTTTTTTTAAACGGCTTAGATGGAAAAAGGACGCCATAAAACGATTTTACAACGAAGAAAAAATTTTTTTAGAGCTATATTTACGGCGCAAAACGAATTTGTAGTTGGCGCCCGCGGGCACCGCGGAAAAGTGGTCTGTATTTATCACGTGACTGGTCTTTATTTATCACGTGGTGCTTGTGCTCTTTCGGAAGCTTCCTATGGCCTCTAAAAGTAACTTATTCATCTTTGTTTGAAGTATAACAAAAAACCAAGACAAATAAGTAACTTTTAGAGCCCAAAGGAAACTCCTGAAAAAGCGCAAGCAGACGTGATAGACCTGTGCGCCGGTCAGACGACGGCGGCGGCGCCCCGAAGCAGACGAACTTGTGCGGCGGCGGCGACGGCGGCGTGGAGAAACGCGTTGAAGCGGCGTTCGCACAACGCTCAGCGTGCGGCGGCGACGCAGCGCGGCAGCGCGCGGGCCTACCACGTGACCAGCGGCGGCTCCCGCGAGCGCCAACTACAAATTCGTATAGCGCCGTAAATATAGCTCTAAAAATTTTGTTTCTTCGTTGTAAAATCGTTTTATGACATCCTTTTTCCATCTAAGCTGTCTAAAAAAAATTTTTTTTTCCTTTGCATGTGTCCTTTAACACGTGTGCGGACAACTTAGGTGCGCGCATGCGACACAAAAATGCAACGATAAATTAAATCTGACAGGCGGGTGGTTTCTTGCTTACAGTAGAAACAAGTTTGTTTATCGATTGATTAGAAGCGAATGCAGTCCCCACTAGCTCCAGCAGTCTTGGTAGATCTGGGTGTACCTGTAATCTCTCATAAATATTTTTCACGCAATTCTGCAGGCGCAGAGTGGTTTTTTGCATCCACTTCTTTGGGGGTTCACCTCTGGCTTGTGTCAATGCCGTGGCAACGACCGCTTAGTGGTCATTCAGTCAGCATCCAGACGCTTGGATGGGCGCGGCCGACAAACTTCTGGAACCCGGCATTTCATCCTTCGCAGGTGTATGTCCGGTCTTTATCTCGAAGAGTGGCGTCGTACATATTCCACCGTTCCGGGGAAAACTCCGGTCGTCGTCAGCACACAGTCAGGCAAAGGGAAAAATTCGCTCTAGGTGCCGCCGCAGAAGAAGCAGAAGCATAACGGAATGGGCCGTTGACATACGTACAATCAAAGGAGTCCAAAAGGTCGCCAATGTCACCAATAGACTTTTACCTGATGTAGGTTAGTCCTTCGGGCACAAGCTGTGATGGAAGGAACGCCAGCCTATCCAAAATCCCGCACAGCTTTCTAAATTGGTCATCTGTCCAAAAGGCCACATTCCCGTTCCTTGAAAATATTTTTAAAACTTCACAACTCAATGGTTTGTATATTTCAGTTTTGGTTCAGTTTCCTTTTCACAACGCCCTGAAATAATCCTTGATTCCAAATACATTTACGACGCTCAATGACGTAATGAATTTAATTTTCCGAGCCATTCATGCACTTGAAATATTAACCTGAACCCAAAGAAAACCCTTGCATTAGTAATGAAGAGACATTGTGCCTATCCTTTATCTGAGCGTTAAGTGTGACATAAAGCACAATGAAAAAGCGAGGTCGACAAAGGGTGACTTCGCTTCTTCGGTCATTCTTCGGGTTCAAAAACTTCGGTTCATGAAGTTTCTTGGCCCTGGCACAAGGGTGCTCCGGCATACCTTGAGTCAAGCAAGCCTGATCTTATCAGCTCCACTCAATTTTAGTGATCTAAATTTTGGTCCCAAATCGTTACTTCTCTGCCTGTTATGGCTTATCTGTCGACATCTTTGAATGGGATGGGATGCCAGTTCTCCTAAAAATGGTACAATGTTCATCGCGTCTGCACTTCCGCATCGCAGCCCGTGTTTCGCCAGGGGTAGCAAAAAAATGAGGTGAGCTTTTGTCCGGGTCTGTGACAAAACGGGTGACCTTTTTTCCGGTGAGCTTTTGTCCGGTGGGCTATTGGATAGACCTCCACCTCGCGTCAAATGAAATTAAATTCCTTAACGAAACCAGAGATACGACCATGAGATTACCGGGATGTTGTTTTTTTTACTTCAAATGTTTCTGTGAAATATTTATGGCGGCAGATTTCGATCGCGGCTTTTGGTGCGTATTTGTTGTCGATTACAACATGTGGAATTATGACGGGACAGGTAATTGCATAAGTAAATAATAAAAACAAGTATATTGGCATAACGTTTTTATTCGTGTGGAAGAGTTGGGTAGACATTACGCTATTTGAATGTACAAGACGTATGCCAAGACAAGACGTAACGTCATGTTTACCTAAATTTACCTTCAAACGTGTTCCTTATGACACATGAGCCTATCTGAAGCGGCTTAGGCAGTTTTAGATAGCGCATTGTTTACTCCACTCGTGTATAGTTTTCAGCGCGCTAAACCCTCGATCATGCACATACATAATTGTCACTAATGTACGCAGCAACACGACGCTCAGCAACAACATGCTGCTCAAAATGTTCTTCGAATATATTTGTGACATCCTGCAGGATTGCGTCGTGAATTAAACTACTTGACACTGCCGTTTATTTATATTAGCCGCCCGTGAATATAGAAAAGTCCCTAAAACTAACCACGCAAACGTTCTCATAAATTACGCGTGGCCGACTTTGATATTTATTTTTAGATAGATTTTCCGGGTACAGATATATCAGCCCAGACCACGGCTATCGAAAATGCGACTTAATACCCCAACATTCATACCTAGGATGTCGTGGCGCTATGCGTCTTGTTCATCGAAAGCAACATTCGTATTCTAGAAACCACGCACTGCAACGCTTTACACTTTGCCCGACATATGTCACTAGCGCACCCAGTAGCGGTCGCTTGGACACCCATTATCGTTCTTCCAAGCTGCGTGCCAACAATATAAATCTACCGCAGCATGACGCAGAAACAGGCGGCTACTAATCTGGACACTCTCCCCCGCAGCACTATGGCAAATTCATTTGAATACGACTGCGTGGTATTTCACTGTCCTATCTGCTTTCCGTCGGACTTAATTGCCACGGTAAAATACAACAGGTCCGTAAGCCTAAAATAAAAAAATTAATAAACCGTTGCTGCCAATACCCGGTTCGGAACACACGGAGTGATGGGAAGGTACCAATGACTTCTGAACCTAGATCATATCAGGGAAATAGACCATCTCGCGTTCCCATGTCTCACTTTCTGGTTCATGATTCCTTCAAAATTACATACATTTTTGGAGATACGAGAACCGCGCATTCCACACCGAAATTATAAACTACACACGTCGCCGATCACTGATCCTCTGTTCCCATGTGCGCTAGCCGTTGGGAAGCACAACAAAACTTTCGGAACTTACCGTTATCTGAATTAAACGTTGTAAGCGATTTACGGAGATTTCCAACGCGTAAATGTTGTCTAAAGGAGCCCGCAAACACATGAAGATGAATGGTGTCTGCTACCGGGAACGAGATGGGCCTCTATTTTTTCTTATTGAAAATTTCCGGAAATCGCTTATTACTTTTGCATTAGACTACAACATGCTCTGAAACTGGCAGCTTTGTACAGAGACTGAGCATTTGGTGACGACTGGTTGATCTTCGCGGTAAGAAAAACACGTTTTTTTTTGTTGTTTTTTTTATCTCGTGCACAGCCCGGCGAAATGAATGTCCACAGCACACCGAACATTCTCAACGTGACAGTTCGTTTCTTTTTTTACGCGGAATTTGTTTACGTGTTGGATTTATGCGAGAAACGTTATGCTCGAGTATAACACAAAAGATACAGAAGTATATTTAGTCACAATTATTATACCGGCGAGATTTAAGGACCGACGCAGCGGGAATCGCACTCCGGATTGTGGGAAGCGCAACCTGTCGCCTTTGCTGAGCTCAACGAGGAGGATCTGAACGGAAATGTAAGCAGCTGGACTGAGTTTGACTCAAGAGAGCCTGTATTTGGAAAGGTGACCAACGGCGGCCGCAGCTGTCTGCCGAAAAACGATAACGTAACTCTCCACGTGACTTGACAACTTCGTGGGTTTTCAATAAATTTAATATTATCTCGATCGTTTTGACAAACCCGAGGAGTACATGAGTATGTCGTGCGTATAACGCAACCGAAAACAACCAAATTACTTCTTAACCAACCATAACAAAATGTGATTGAGACAAATATTTTTTTTCTTTGTTGCACGTTCAAGCCCCACCTTGTCCAGCTGTTCGAAGATCTTGTCCACCCTCTCCCTCGGGGACTCCTCGGCGTTGTCCTTCGCTTGGTTTCCCTGGGAAGGCAACGGAAACAGTTGGTTAAATGAAGTATCAAAACAAGAAAAATTCTTTGTTGACCGACATGTAAGGCGTAATTTGTTTTGTTACCTTAGTTTGGTAACGCCTACGTTACTTAATTAATCCAATCTTTCTTTTTGTGTGTATCCAAGGTCTGACTGACTGCTCTCTGAATCTCTTTTTCTTTTTTTTCTTTTTTAATGTCCATTTTCGGTGACTCTTTTTGGTGATGCGCGAAGCAGAAACCCGAAGGCCAGTTGCGAGTTTATTTCTAAAGTCAAACTCCCACTCTCGTTCATCATACAAAAGTCACGGTTATGATAATAATGAAATTAACAAAAAGGTGCAAGCGAGCTGCATCTTTGCATCAATTACATTATCATCATAGCCTTAAAAATGCGGGCCGTCCACCCTTGTTGGTGTAAGACTGATGGCTGCTGATAAATCCCATTTGCTCTACTGACGTTTAACTCTCGATTAGCTCAGCTGGCAGAGCGCTCCACTGGAAATGGAGAGGTCCCTGGTTCGATACCAGGACCAGGCGGATTTTTTTCAGTCACGCACCAGTCACCTAGCTGTGCTTGGAGATTTGTGTTTGTCCTTTGTCGCCCTTGTTTCCCTACTCCAGGAATTATTATTGTCAAAAGACACGTCATTGCTGCAGACGTAATAACAAAATTACCTCCAGACACTCCTCAAACATGTTCGAAGGCTTTCCCCGTACGTAAACTTCGACCATGTATGCAGGCTTATCTTGTACGACAAATGTGATAGGAGCATCCAGCAACGACAGAACACGCTTTAGAAAGTGTCTCTGCAGACTCTCTTTTTGTAGGATGATTTAGAAGTGTAACCGCAGCATAATAGTTCCCACCGTTAAGTCCAAACGCGTTAGAACTTGTTGCTCGAGCACTAAGCACTGCCTCGACCGCTCGCACACGAAAATCCTTTCAAAGATTTGCTCGCCGCGGGATGCCTCCATGGCAACCGAAGCGAGCGCACGGAGCGCCCAAAATCGTTTCGGTAAACGAGCCCCGACTTAAAAATGGTCCGAGTCTATTCTGCCCCCGAACTCGAAGGAAGAAAAACAGCAAAGAAAAAGACTGCAGGAAAGCTCGGTGGTGCAAGCGCTTTTGTGAGCTTTACCGGCGAGAGCGAACATCTACGCCCAGAAAGTGCGGATGCGATTCGGCGATTCAGGAATTACTTCGAAATGAGTCCAAAAATTAGTTTCCTAAATAAGCGTGGACTGCCTACAACGAGTTAAAACTGTTATTAGGAGAAATTCAGGAGCTGAAGAAGTGGAATAAATACATATTGTTAAACTTTGGATCGGAACAAAATTATTTTAGGAATCTTTATTCTTCTTTCTTTTGAATAGCATGAAACAGGTCCCACAATAGGAGTAGCATACCTGGAAATCGTAAGCGTTCTTCCATTGCGATGTAATTTAACCTGGCATTAGAGTAGAATTTTGTTGGTTTTAACTGCAATCACGTCTCCCGTATTTACAATCAGTTTCTAATCAGTTTCTATTAGTTCAAAGAATTATAGGGACGCACACTGACTCATGAGGGACAACCATAATAAAAATAACCCCAATATTGAGCAGAAAATACACACGTGACAAAAGACAACCAACAAAATCTCAAACACAACTGATTAACGAACACATATGTACGGGTTTGTTTCTTATCGAGGCAGGTCATCTCTTGTGGATGTATTCTCAGATTCTTTGCATTCGTCGTTTGACAACCATTGTTGTTTGTGTGCGCTTTCTCTTGATGTCGCAAGAGCATTTGATTCAGTGAACCATGATATTTGATTAGAAAACCAACTTCACCTTGAGTTCAGGATTCCTTCGGCTCGTTTGCTTAGAAATTTTCTGTGCGGACTTCTACAACTCGTGTCTATTGGAGAAATTCATATTACAGAGGCCACACTAAGATCATGAGTCGCACAAGGTTCTGTTTTAACCCCTGTTTTATTTAATGTATATGTTAACGACCTTTTTTCAACTGGTTACGAGTAACATATTGTAATACGCAGATGACACTGCTTTTTTCCTGTCATGCTGATATCGAACATGCCATTCTGAAGCTGCAGAAACAAAAATGACATTGCTGTCATGGATTGGTTTAGAAATAACAGAATAAGTGAAAACGCCTCTAAAACAAAGCTGGTATGTTTTCGCAGCCCGTGGGAAATCAGTTTCCGCCTTTATTTTTGCAGAACTCCAATTTGGTATCATGCTCTTGCAACCCTGTTCAATATGTCTCTTCTGTCAAGTATCCAGGTATATACTTTGATTCTGAACTGTCCTGGAATACGTACCCTTATTTTGTGTCGAAACGTTTAAGACGTTTATCATGTATGCTCTATAACCTAAAAGTGTCCCTTCCGTTTGCAAGTAGAAAAATGCTCATGCACTCAGGCGTACAGTATCCTTAGGTATGGTGTCACTCTATTTTTGAACTGCTCTCGAGAATGGCACGCCAGAATTGATAGCATTCTAAGGGGGATGTTAAAACGTGTTACTTGTGGTTCAACACCTTCCTCAAGTGATAGCTTATTTAGTTTTTTCTCAAATCGATCTGTTTTTATTCGGTATTTATTTAGACTTTTTTTTTGCATTTTTGGCGCAGTGATCTTAAAACTGAGAGGGTAACCCCACGAGCATTTAAGAACATTACACGCTATGAAATTCCTCGTACCTTTACTCATTATGAGGAAAGAGGTCATTTTATCGGCCGAAGAGTTTTAATTAACTACCAAATAACTTATTTCTAACTGATTACAACCATGGGCTCAAAAAGAGCCTGAAAAAGTTATTTCATGATACCACCAAGTGATACATCTACAGTTGACACTTAGTGAGTTATGTTGCGACCTGCTATTTCTGCAAGGAATGGACTATACTGCCAGGCCATGCCACACAAGCTTCCCTTGGCTTAGGCACACCTGTATGTTATTTGTTTATTCCTATAAATAAAAGTTTATTATGATTATTATTAGTATTGTTATTATTAAAGTGAAAACGCAGACTAGCTGATGTTGGTCGAACATATTTTAAGACAAAACGCCGAGACGGGGGAAGAGCTTGAGACTTTGTGTTGTTGTATTGTCCTTCGGTTTTTATCCAGTCTCGAATTTTATCTTTAAAAAAATACAACTGATTAGTCACTTGTCACACAAAATACCCAGTCGCGTTTGAAGCTTTGTTTTGTATGTTTCTGTGTGTGCATTGACCTCAGTACCAGAGTTTGTGCTTATTATGATCCGTTTTTTCACACCTTTAATTCCGTTTTATCGAATTTCTATATGGCCTAGTGTTAGCAACCCAGCAAACGCCGACACTCGTCTGGTGACGTGTCAATGATGGAGCTTCGTCGAACGGCCTAATTTGCTCAAAAAACGCATGTTATCAAATAACGCACTGCTTGGTCACAGCTGATCTATATTTTTCTTCTTATTTTTTGTTTATATTGTCACGGGTAGTGACCAATAAACAATAATATACAGAAAGAAATAAACGTTTAATGTGGCGAACTTGTGCCAAAAATAAAAGGGTACAAAAGATAATAACGGAGCGTCGCGGGCGTCGGAGTCGGCGTAGCAGCAGAGTCGAACGCTGGGCGAAAACTGACTGCAGATCAGCACGCGGAGTCCCTTATGTACGCGCGTTGGGTTCTGGAACAATCGGCCTAGATTGTTCGGCGACTGGAACATTCGGAACTCGATCTGACGAGAATGTTCTCGAACTCACGAGAACGCAATGAAAGAACAAATAAAAGAGCATTCCACTAACTGGATTCGAACCCAGACTTTCTGCGCGACAGTCAAGCACGGTAACCACTTGGCCACGCGCGCGGTCGCTCGCCGACGAGCGTGGCATAAAAGTTCCGCATGCATGTTCTTTCTGTACCGCCCCCCCCCCCCCCAATCACCCCTTATCTAATGCTGCCGATGCGACCTTTAAGGATACAATTAATTTAATTTAATTTAATTTAATAGTCAAAAACATGTTTTCAAAACCTGCCGGCGACCATAAAGCGCAACATCCCTTGTAAATATGGCGTATGCGACATGTCCTAGAGCGGTGCTTGTCTTTGGCCAAAATTACTCAACTTACTTTTAGCCAGATGCGCCGTCAACTGACCACAAAAAACAATTGTGAATATATGATGACGACATGTCGATTTGCCAAAAAGCTGACCTTGCTGTGTCGATGGACGAAACTCGGTGTTTGTCGCACCAGTATGACTACGCAAGGAAGGTCCATTTCGGATTTTTCTTTCCTTTGCGTTTTTATTCAATGCTGTATCTATTTTTACGTGCTTCTGTTGTTTCTTCGCTTATATTGAAGGGTAGCGGAAATCACATTTTAGGCGGTTAATGTAAAAAAAATTAAAAAATGGTCTCGTCTTTTTTTTTTCTTTTTGTTTTTTTATCTCTCTCCCTGTCTGTCTATCTCTCTCTCTTGGTGAGTCAGTCCTCAATCGTGTTGCACAACAGGAAGTTGATTTTATTGACACGCGTGAACGCTGATGTCAACTTTGACAGTTTATTTTTATTTTATACTTTTTTTATTGAGCCGTTTATTTTAAAATAAAAGATCAATAGACCCTTTCCGAAAATCAGTCTGCCCATCCTGTGCACAGCCAAATCCGACGCTCTAATGGCAGCACTAGACAGAATCTCCACGCCAGAAAAAGTGAACGTCTTCGAAAGCATAGAGCAGAAAGCGGAAAAGAGGTTGGTCCTTTTACTTTACCTAGGATTCACGAAATCGAGGGTGCTTGATTTAGGCGAGCATGATCTCCCATCACCGCCATTAGAGTGGACATATTGGAGCTTTTGGGGCTGCCACAAGGTGACTCTGACTTTTGAAAAGGGCATATTGTTAGCGTAGCGTTCGTCCTATGTTCTTGTCCCCGTCGTCGCCTTTCTGTACGCTGTATTTTTTTTTTTATACCCCTTATCATGGGACACACTG